GTGGTGCAGCGGCCTCTGGGGGGGGTTGCTGCCAAAGGCAGGGGCTGTCTAATTCATGTTTTCCTTCTCACCTCCTGGTTCCTATGGCCATTAAAGATAAATATGGCTGCTTTGTGGCATTTCCACCCAGATCCTACTTTCTCCTACACAGCCACTAGGGAGACTTTTGCTGCATCTTATGGCATAAAGGCACCAAAATGCTCAAACTGGCTAAGTCGGAGTCGTGCTGGGTTGTTCCAGCCCAGACAGTCTCTCTTTAGGCACAGTTTGAAGATAAACTTTATGCCCAAATAAAGCTTTCAGCTGGAAGGTTGCTTTTTCCCCTGTATCCTTGAAGCAGAAAGAATTCAAAGGGATGCTCTCATCTAGTTTATGCCCAGGATCTGATCTCCTTTGAAATGGTTATGAGCTGGTAAGGAATTTTCTCTGGATTTAACTCTTTTCAAACAATGGCCTTGGTTTGACTGTTTTTCTGACCATGCATACATAGTAACAGGAAGGTTTTGGGTACCCCTCCTCATCTACAGCCCCTGGAAATGCTGGGTAACATCCAAGAGTTCTGAAATGCTGTGAATTTAAAAGAAAACAGACTTTAAATAGCATATAAAGCTGTATAAAACATTCTGGCATTACTGCAGCCAAGATCTTAGAAGGATTCAGAAGAGGATCAGGTGCTCAGGTGGAGAATAACAACATCCAAGTGCCTCGTACAGCAATGGCTGAGATACGGAAAACACCTACACTGAGAGGAGAGGCCAAGTTGTGAGTGCCTGGAGGAAAAAAGGCTTTTTAAAATGATTCTTTTTCCTTTAAGGAAAGAAAGAAACCAAACCAGGCTGTTTTGCAGCCGTGCACCAGATGTTTGCTCTGTCTTCCACTGAGGAATATGGTTTGGGGTATTGTCAGGTAGAGCATTAACAGCTCTAATTCATCATCTCTAAGGTCTTGGGGTAGAGTAGATGGAGACGTTTCTGCCCATACTCATGCTCTGAGCTGAAGGTTTGGATCCAACCAGCATCTCCCAGTGCCTAGCCTGGAGAAGCAAGGCTGCCGTGTCTCAAAGAGGATAAAACACTCTGTCCTACCTTTTGGTGTGAGGTCTAGCTCTGGGCACTTGAAGTTCACATCTGGAAGAGTGGGAGAGAAGAGGTTGTCTATTAAATTCAGGAAAACCCAATGCTAATGTTGCCAGTGCCTAGAAGAAAGAGAAAAATGCCTTTACCGTCAAGAAGTGCTGCTCTGATGTTGAAGAGAAGAGGCTGGGTGCAAGCACAATGCTGGCTGCACCAAGTCAAAAGCATCAGGATCAATATCCCTGTCCTGCCTTGTCAAACTCTGACTTCGAGGTGCTGGTTAATCTTGCTAGTCTGGAGTGCTGGAGCAAGAACATGATGCTGGAGGCTATGACATAAAAGGAGTTGGATGTTGCTTTGAACCCTATGGCTTCTCTAGCCACGTTCTGGGGTTTCCCTCTGGATTGGAATGAACCCAGGGTTTGGGCTTGCTTCAGCCTGCGTGACATATATGTGTATATTGACCTGTGTAAGTCAGAGCTCTACCATGGGCTGTTGGCTGTGCCCAGCCCGGTGCTTAGCTGGTTAAAGAAGCAGCAAACCACAACCAAGTGCTGTGGCTCCTTGTTTGTCTTTCCAAGGACCGTGCCCTGGCAGGTTGTGGCATCTGCTGAGAGTGACATTGGGGCACAAGGCAGCTGCCTGTCAGCAGGCAGAAAATGCCATCAAGAAGCTGCTCCTTGGCCACTCAGCACGTGGGAAATCAAGCACAGGGTTTATCAGAGACCAGCGCGAGGTGGGGTCTGCTCCTATGGAACTTAGAGGCTAAACTCCCCCCCCAATTTGTGACATCAGTGGGAGCAGGACCCTGATCAAAACATCTTCCCTTAATAACTAAAGGCCTATTTTCCACATACTTGAATTTACAGCATAGCTGGACTATTTCGAGGGACTAAAGGCACTTTAACTGTCTTTTAATGCAATGTCTTTGCTATGGAGTAGCTGCATGGAATACAGTCTTAATATTAAAAAAGAAAACTCCTCCTTTTGGACTGCTTTGTTTTCAAAATAAAACACGCAAAAGATTATGGTCCTGTTGTGTGAACCTCTAGGAATGATTTTCATCTTATATTCTCCTAATGGATGCTATAAGAGTACAAGGATTTTTGAAGACGTCCTTTGCTGCCTTAGTAATAAGATATCATTATCAGGAGGTGTTCCCAGGACATACCTGGGATAAAAACCAATGTAATTGGGGTTTGAATCAAGACTATAATTTGCTTGGCCTGGTTTTGACAGTAGTTAAAAACCTGAATCACTTTAAGGGTCATTACCTGGGAGCTCTGGGGAACACCTCTGTGTTTAGGCTTCCTTTGGTACTGTACATTAAAAGCATGAACAAATTGGCATGATGCAGTAACTGAAATGAGATGATGAACTGTAGGTAAAGGCCCATCTTGTGCCATCAATACACTGGTTCTCGTGGGAGCTTTGATAACACTGCTCCTGTGTGTGGTACACCTGGAGTAGCTGCTAAGGGCACAGCCAGAACAAGGACTTACCCATATTCCATGCTCTTCCCCTGCTAAATGCTGTGTCATGGAGAAATAGCCAAGCTGGCACCAAAACTGGAGCAACTGGGTCCTGCTTCACACCCTCTACAAGAGAAAAGATCATTAGAGACATACTGAGACAGGATGATGTGCACAGAGGCAG